TGTAGTAGGTGAAGACAGTCAGGTTATGACTGGACACAACGCGACAGGCCCTCTTAACAGAAGGGTTCGCAAAGTGCCCGCGAAGGTCGGCAGCAATTGTGGATCATTGTTGCGGCAACTGTGGGCAACGCCAACGTCGCAACGATGCTGCGGAAAGGACAGAGCAAGCGTGGCACGCAATGGTCGGGTGCCATGCTGCTGCTGATGCAGCCATGAGCCCCCCGCGCCGCAGCCGATGAAGAAGCCGCGGGCCGGCAGTAGCCACGTCGACCCACCGCTGCGCAATGGGCAAAGCGCGAGCCCAGCAGTTCAGTCAGACACGAACGCTGCACCGAAGACGGCGGCCTCGGGGCGCGCGCGACCGAACGCGCTTGCGGCGCCGCCACGCCGTCCTTTCGCATCGCCGCCGAACCGCCCTCCCTCCTCCGCGACAGACGCCGCAAACACGGCGCTTCTCGCCGACCACGCAACAGCAGCAGCTGTGGCAGCACCTATTCGCGTCGCTGGTGCGCACGGTTTGGCCTCGTCGCAGTCTGGCGGGCGCTTGCCTCGCGGACCAGGCGGCCGAGCAGGCTGTGATCGCGGCCGAGGCGGATTGGCTCAGGCGGGTGCCGCCTGGAGACGCGCCGGCAAAGCAGCCTGCAAAGGCGGGGCGATCGGTGAGGCGGCGGCGCTCGCACCTGCAGCTGACGCGCCAGCCGCCTGCCTTCCGGCGACCTGTGCAGCAGGTCTATTCACACCTCACACGATCTTCCACGTCCAGACAGCGTCCAGATAGCGTCCAGACAGCGTCCAGACAGCGTCCAGACAGTGTCCAGACAGCGTCCAAACAGCAAAATAGGAGCGTCTAGACAGCTATACGGACAGTAATAGCACTTGAGTGTACAAAGCTGATTGAAGTAAAGGGGAATGATGCAGCTGCCTGCCAGAGCAGAAAGATTCCTTAATTCTCTCCACTACAAAAAAAGTCCAAGGCGGAACCGAGATCATGGCCCCGAATGCCGTGCTCTCTAGGTAAGGTGTGGGAGCTCCACAAACCGAGAAAGAAGAAATGTCGTATCTCGGCGCCGCACACGCCCCTGCGCCTGAAAACAGAAATCAAACATGCGAAAAAGAAATATTCGCACGACGCCGCACACGACCCTGCGCCAGCGGCAGAGGTCGACAGGGCCGCCCCACGCAGCCTTGTGCAGCGGCGTGTGGCCCTGCCGCTGCGTCGCGTGGAAGTCGAGCCCGCGCTGCCGCAGCTAGTCGGCGAGGAGTAACAGCTGCTGCGTGCGCGGCCGTGGCACGGTTCCGATCCAGTGCTGCGCGCTGCAGGCAAACGAGTTGAGCTGGCGAGGGTCGACGCCGCGCACGTCGACGACGAGGTAGCGCGCCACGTCTGGCCAGCACAGACTGCCACACCGCGAGCTGGAACGGCGAGACGGACTGCCGGTCGCGCGGATCGCGGACATGCCGGATCGGGGTCGACGCCACTCCGCACTCGCCAGCGTCTCCTCGACGAGGAAGCGGACGGCGTCGAGCTGTCTTATTTTTATTTTTCATTTATATAGGACCCTACTCACACGACAGACAAGCGCAGACGACGGCTTCCTTAGAAGCCATCGTCCTCGCCACATGAAGAGCCGGCGTCCGAATTCTCCTCCTCCGACACCCGCCCCACCCCACCCAACCCCGCACGAACACGCTTGACGCAAGCTCTGCAACATCTAGACATGAAGCACACGATTCACGCCATCTCCGCATAATCTCAGCAGAAGTCCCGCACGATAAGCCCGTAATGGCTCTGCATCATCTGCCTTGATCGCCGAAACGTGCGCACCTTTTCGTGCGCGGCGCCCTTGCCACGCGGCCGGAGCCGCGACCGACGCAACCGCCACCACCACACCGCAGAGTTCAGTTGTTTTGATCAGTCATGGGCCTGTTCACACACCACTGACGGAGCGGCAGCTTCGTCACGGGGAGGGAGACCTGTGCTGAAGAGAAGTAGCGTTTGACAGAGGTTTTCACGGGTACCCTGTCGTAGTCATCGCCGCACATCTGACCGCCAGGCCTCACCTTTGGCCACCAAAGCTCGAGCTCTGTGATTGTCGTGTTGTCGTGGGCCGTGTCCAAGTAGAGAAAGTCCACGGACTTGTCGCTGTAACGGGCAACGATACTGACGTCCTTGGACGAGCCTCTGGTGACGGACGCGATGTTGTCCCACTTGCCGAAGGTCTGCACAAAGTGAGCCCACGTGAGTTGAAAGTCACCCTTGCCGAATTGCATCACGGACTTCCTGTGATTCTCGCGTGCCCATTCTGCAAGCGAAGCCTCGGCACGCGTCATCCCGTTGAGCAAATTGTGCTTGGGAATGGTCCCTTTTGGTGCGGAACCCCAGAAGTCGATGACGTGAAAGGCCACGTTCACGGACAAGCTGTCGAGGAGATGCGACATGTAGCACGTGGACTGGCCGAGATAGGCGCCAATCTCCAGGAAGAGAGCGTCGTCGTGAGGGTGGCGGCTCAGCTCTGCCACGGCGGCGTTGTAGAGTCCCTGCCCCTGGAAGAAGCCTGGGATGGTGCTTACGCATTTCTCCAGAACGGCGGGCTTGCCGTCGATCTCATTCGGTGCTGTCCGGGCCATGCCAAACAAGCTCATGAGCAGGATTGCCCATTTCATCTTTGTTTCCTGCGTGCGCACGACGGCGGGCGAGCGTCAGAGCTGTAAAATGGGATGCGCATGGTGCGGGCTTGCTTCGGGCGGCGCGGGAGCGCAGTAGGCATGGAGGCGATGCGCGGCTGCGCGCTGGGCCGTCGCTCTGCCCGCGATCCGGGTGGGCGCCAGATTCTAGTCGCTCGAGCCTCGGAACGATTCGCGCGCGGGGCGTTCGCAGCAGAAAAGGCACGAGCGCGCTACAGCGCATGGGATGTGGGGCGAAGCGGCCGGCCACGCTCGCGCAAAGGCCAACACGCGCCGCAGCATCGCGCGGGGCGCGGGGAGAGGGAGGGAAACCATGAAAACTCCGCGACTGGGACGTGCAACACAACCAGGCGCCGTGGGATCGTTGATGAGCTGCAGAAGAAACATTGCACGCAAAATCATTTCTACGACGTGAAACTTTTTTTCGAGCTAAAATCTTAGATTTGAAACATTCCGCTCACCTCGGATCCTTATCTATCCCACCCAAACAACTCTAACACTTACACACATTATTTGGGGCTGCTCTGCGCGCAATGACGCTTTTGAGGCCGATGCAAAGTCAGTCGCGTGGGCGCTGGCCATCTCATAATCTGGTGCCGTGCCCTCGATGGCGCCCTCGGCCATTGCGCTGGTCGTGACGCTCCCTTCCCATGGGTACACATCCATCTTTCCATTACGCACACGCCCAATCGTGGTGTAGGACTGGCCTATGATGCCGTGCGGCTTGTCGCGGGACGGAGCTCCGCCGCGCGCTGTGAAGCTGATGTCGAGCCGATTCTTGGGTCCAGCTATATAGTCCTCCGCGCGGAAGACCGAGCGCATGCCGCGCACTGTGACAGTCCAGTTGTTCATCTTGAAGGTTGCGGAGGAGTGGTCCATTGCAATGGCGAGGGCGTAGCACACCTTGCTGCCGTGGAACCCGAATTTGAAGGGCCGACCAACGCAGGTGCCTGTGACAACTTGCCAGCCAAAATTGTTGCGATCGAGCTCGGAGGCCCAGAAAGAGGCGGTCGCGTTGCGGTTGTCGGAAAATTTTGCCACAAAGTGGGCCTTGTCGTGGTTTCGTCAACGAAACTCACTCACTCACAAAACAAACAAACACTTGGTCATGGGTATCTAGGAATTAGCTCGACTTCGACATGGATGATGATGATCGTGACCACGCCCTTGCCCGCCTGTCACACACACAAAAAGACGTGCATATCCTCATCTCTCCCAGCGTCTTCTCTTTCTCTTCGCAGTTGCGGTGCTCTTCACCATGGAGGACAGCTCCAAGGTCTTTGCCATTGGCAACATCGAGCAGGTGGCCGTCGCCGACGGCACAGTAGACGCGCACCGCGCCACTGGCAGCTCGAGCGCGAAGTACCTCTGCGCCAGCCCTTGATGAGTCAGCGCAGCAACGGGGTCTTCATCAACGACCCCAAGGGACCCTTTATCCTCCGGTGGTACCGTGAGGTCGTGAAGGGTGACGGTCTACCCCCGCCCCAGACGGCCCGCGCTACCCGAACAGAGCGTGCAAGTACTACAAGCTGACGAGCGACGACGATGGGCAGGCCTTCCGGTACTTCCGCTGGACCAGCAACTACCAGGTACACCTTGCCTGAAGAAGCACTCCAGCCTGCCTCTCTGCTATTCTCTCAGTGCGGCAGACAAGAAGATGGTGAAGTCCACCATGAAAAAGATGGTGGGGGACCCCGGCAGAGTAGAGACTAGAGTATGTGTAGAAGAGTCCTGCTGGTCTCCTCTTTCTGATAGTGTCATACTTTGGTGTGGCTGGTGTGTGTCAGAGCCTGACAGCACCCCGACAGCACCACCTGACACAGCACCTGCCAGCACCGGCCCTACGTCTGACAGCACAGCCTGACAGCCAGCGCTCACGCCGCCTATTTTCTTTTTTCTCGCATACTCCCCACGCCGATCGCGCCCCGGCCCCCGCCTCGGGCCGAGCGTTTTTGATCTCTCGGTAAGTGGGGGGCCGAGCCGCCTCGGGGTGGCGGGCGGGCGGGCGTGTTGAAAAACAGAAAACAGAAAACAGAGGGGGGCCAGGGCCCCCACTACGATTAGACACACGCACCTGGCTCCTGGGACAAGGCGAGAACGCGCAGCATGTGCAGTACCGTTCAGCGGAGGGGGGGGGGGGAGCCGAGGGGGCGACGTCTCGACACGGCAGCTTGGAGCTGACCCCGGGAGAGAGAGAGACGAGCGATGGCACGCCCCCAATGACCCTAGACAGACATGACGAGCCGACAGCGATGCAGCGGCAGCGAAGGCGGCGAGGAGAGCCCGCGCTGCAGAGCTCCGCCGGGCGGCAGCAGAGACATCGGCGGACGGGGGAGCACGGGACACGTCGGCATAGGAGCCAGGGGGGTGGGAGAGTTGAGTCAGGTGCAGCAGCACCGTCTCGGCAGCGAGGCCGACGATGGCGACGGCGGCGACGTAGGCGAGACGTTGGCGAGGGTGGCGACGGTCACGATGAAAAGGTGGCTTGACGAAATGGATGACGCCATCGCGCAACATGACATCCTCGATGTCGTCGTCCTCTAGGCGGCGCGCAGCGCCGCTCTCGCAGGCTGTTTTTGACGGTTTCTACACTTTGTTTTTGTTTTCAGTCTAGGGGGCCCGACCCCCTCAGAGGCGGCGGGCGGGCGCCCACTTACCGAGAGATCAAAAACGCTCGGCCTCGCCGCCGCCACTGCCGCGCCTTCGCCAGACACGCCGCCGCCCATCTGCCACTGCCTCCTCGACCAGCCCAGGGACCTCGTCGTGGGGGTCCTCTCTCACCTGGGGCCTGGCCCTCTGGTCCGCTTAATAGGCTCTCAAAGCGGGGGAAAACTCGCCCCACAGGTGTGGGGTTCGGGGGCCCCCCCTCCCCCCCCCATAACCCCCCCCCCCCCCCCCTCGGGCGCGGCCGCCATGTGTTGCATGCCCCCGTGTAAGCAGCGCCCCGCCGCCCGACCGCCTCGTCCAAGGCGCGTGCCGCTCGCTCGCTCGCCGCCGCCGCTCGATCTGCCGGCCTGTTCCCTCCGCCGCTCAGCCGGCGCGTCGCCCTGCACGGCCTTGCTGCAGCGGCGCATCAGATCGGGGACGAGGCCGAGAACCCGCAGAGGGGCACTAC